TCCCAAATCTCTATGAGCAGCCATTTCTGTAGTCCGCCTAACTACGCGCATTTATGTGTCTTCAGCCTCGTGGAAGGCGTCTTTCCTCCTAGAGACTTCGCGAGTTTTGCATGACTGCCTTTTTTCGGACTAGTTCATGCCTCGCACAAACCTTTTTATACTATTTTTATAAGCGAATCTTTGTGTACTAAACTTTTATTACATAGACGTATACCGAATAAATGCAATCAACTTTGAAGGCCAAAAAACTGTATGGTGACCGCCGTACTCCAGTGAAATAGTTATATATCGGTCTTTAAAAATTTATTGCGTAGGCATTTGGTCAGGAAGCAGAAACCGTAGGGGATTTATGTTGGTTCGTCTTTAGATCCTTGTCGAACAGTTTCTTCCACCCCGCGTTACTTAATGCCGCTGTTTTGATGCGATAACTTTAGCTGCTAGGGGTCGCTGATCTGTTATTTACATTTAAGCGGGTTACAGTGATTCCATGATAATAAAAGGAGCGGAATTTTGTCATTTCTGTGTACGTACCTCGCACTTGTAGTCATTGGTTTGGAGTTTTGATTGAAAACTCAAGGTGCAAGCTGCTTACTATGAAATTTCGCCCTTTTTGAGGAAACCTTCTGTATAAGAATGTCGAACTCATGAAAATTATTAAATTCAATGATCACATGAACACTGTTTTGCTACTGGTTCCTTTTTCCGTCTGACAATGCCTGTCGTGATAGTTCTGGTGACAAAACGAAGGTTCCCCAAATCGCAAGGCAGAGTGGATTAAACCAGCTATTTACTGCGAAAAAAGTTTACAAAGGGCTCTGGACAAGGACAATCTGCTAGCCGTGTCTTCAGGCAAGTTGTATCAGTCCATGTCTATCCTTGTGTACCTTAGCTCTGCATGTTCATAGGCGCCTTTGTCAGCTCCGGCTAGTGAGTGAATGAGGAACACTGATTGGCCGATGCCAAAAAGCGAGTGACTCGAGCTGCATGAGGCGGATTGAAAAACATGAGTAAGCGTTTCTAGTGACAACCATGCGAGCGGACTGCCTAGAGCAGATGTGTGGGACAAACAAATCCGCGTGACACTAGCAATCGTTGGAACGGACTGCCACATACCACTCGCTGTCAACTTCCATGCCAGCAGTCCAGTCAATTCCAAATTATGCTTCGTTTGTCGAGTGTCTTCTACGCACATTAGTTTCTGGCTGTTTTTTCGTCTCCTTTTAGATGAGCGCCGTCATGAGCCAAGAACCCAGTTCTCTCTGGAGGGTGGCCTAAAGGGACGTCGAGTCGTTTGGCTGCGACAGATTGTGTATCGATAGAAGCAGTAAGAGGGAGTTGTATGTATTAACCAAACATACAGGAGGCGGTGGCATCTAAAGTAGGCCGCATGGTTAGCATCGTTGTATGCATTTGCCTAACCAGGTAGTTTGTGCCACACGTAGACAAGTTCTCGTGTCAGTCAACCACTACGCCCATTCAAATAACGGGAACCACAGCAGACGCGTCTTCGACCGTGTTCCCCCCCCCCGCCCT